TATGTAGGGATTGAGCTAATTTTCCATTTTTTGGTAGACGTTCTTAAACCCAGAATAAGACATTTCCATTCCGTTAAATATGTTGTGGCCACACATTGCCCAAAAGCCCAATAGACCATTTCAGAGTGGCCTACCTGGGAGAGTATGAATGGCTTATCTATAATATATTAAATAGAGGAAATTACATTAGAGCATGTATTTAAATATCACACTTCAAAAATCAGATATGAAGTATATTTAATCAAAAATCAGGTAACAATTTAATATTTAAATATTAATAATTATAATACAAATTCAAGACATAATTTCAAACCCTAAATCATTTTAATCTATTCTCTCCCAAGCTGAAAACCATGAAGTCGAAATGAATCTCCTCTCCCTCGCCCTCCTGCTCCCTCTCATCAACGAGATTCGTGAGTGGCAGCGCTGCGCGCAACAATTGGAGCGATGGAGCTGTTCGCGCTACTTGGCAACTATAGTGGTGGCGATGTGGGTAAGGTTTTGGGGATGGGGATGGCAATGGCGTAGATGTAGTGTTTCTTTTTTCTGGTATGTCTTAAATGACTCTGTGTTCCAGTCGCCGCCACTGCGATGACGCCGTGCTCATAGATATGTGCGCTATAGTGGACACTGCAGCCACAATGACTTCTTTTTCTTTCCTCCGATCTCTTGTGGCCTGGTTTGGGTGTTGGCGGTGAGGTGCTGGTGGTGAAAATCTAGAGTTTTTGGGGATAGTTGGCGATGGTTTGTTGGCGGTACTGGTGGGGTGGTGGTGGCCGACAACGGTGAAGATTGTGTTGGTGGTTGACGATGGTGGTGTGAGGTCAAGGAGGTGGAAGTGGGGTGTTGGTTAATCTGTGACCAACGACGTTTAATTGTGACCTAAAAATTATATAATCTGTGATCATGAAAAAAATTGTAACTAATTAGTTTGGAAATCTGTGATCGTGTGACCTATAATTTTTTTGATTTGTGACTATTAAATAATATGTAACTAGCTAATTTGGAGATATGTAACCAACGAATAGACTGTGACTTATAAATTTTTTGATCCGTGTCATTAAATTGACCTAAGAATAAACTGTGATCATTAATTCTATAAATATGACTTTAATATATTTAATTAATTAATATCTGATTTATGAATTTTGAAACTTAAAATTTGAATATTGAATTGATTCATTCCAAACACCCGACTTTTGAACTCTTCCCTATTAAATATCACATTAAGCGAGAATAAATTTTCGGACGATTATTACCCTACTAGAATTCAATTATTTCAATAATACCTTACTTTTCGTTTTTCAATATGTATTTAATTTACAAACTATAATAAATACTATAAAATTATTGTTATTCATTTAATTTTTAATTTTTAATTAATTAATGTTCACATTCATTTAATTCATATTATTAAAATTTCACATTCATATTCATATTCGCGTCCATGTTCCTGTTATTAATTCTCTATTAATTAACTTTTACATTCATTTAATTAATATTAATTAGAATTTAACATTCACGAATTGAATTCATTATTCACGTCCATGTATGCTAGTTAACATCCAGTTTTACTTAATGAAATATCAACTTATATTCATTTAATATAAATTATTTAACATCCATTGACACGTATATATTCATTGATATTACTTTTAAAATAAGTAACATTCATGTTATATAATAATTAACATTTATTTCTAGGAGCTTGCATTTATCTCGTATTTAGATCAAATGGTAAATAGACAGTCAAAAATTATTGTCACATTACTTATAAAGCATTTTAAAATAACGTGTAACACATGTTTAACTATGACTAGTAAGAACAAGTATCTATAAAACGTGATTATATTGAACTTATTTTATACTTTTACGCCTTTGTTCGATGACCATAATGTTTTGAGTAGTGAATTTTTGGAGAACGGTTGGTTAAGAAGTAAGGAAAGATTTTGAATTTGTGTACAAAATATTTTATTGTGTGAATGTGATTGAAAATAAGTATGAAAATTCAAGAGTTTTAATTTACAAGGAAACGAACAAGGGCTACATCTCGAGAACAAGGTCTTTCTCCTTGCTTACTTTTTTTTAGGGCCCAATAGGGGGACAAACCTAGTCCATCTTGGATCATGTTGTAGCTTTTATGCACGCCAATTATAACAAAAGAAAAAAATAAAAATTCAATGAAACAAGTCTATCTCCAGAGGTGGGCCCTTTCGCAGCAAGGCAATTGGCATGTACTTCTCCGTGACTGTATTGAATATGGTTTGGACCACGTTGGTCCAGCTCACTTTTCACCACATCAGTTAATTCTTGTTTTATTTTTTCAAATATGATGGAGCTTAGCCATTTCAGATTTGGGCTTGTATAGTGTGCATTGTTTAAAGCAAAAGTGCATTAATTAATGGGGTACTTACAAAATTACCCTTAAAATTAGGGATGTTTTGAAAAATCATGTGAAAGATTTTTTGGAAGTAAAAAATACTGTGAAAAATAAAAAAGTGACACAATGTCACTTTTTTTTTTTAATAAAAAATGTCACTTTTTTAAAAAAGTGACACGAACTCAAAAAAGGTGACAAAACTAAAAAAAAGTGACTCGCTAAAAAAAGTTACACAAATTCAAAAAAAGTGACAAATATCAAAATTTGTTTGGAATAGAAAAGTGATAGAATGTCACTT